ACACATAGGCCTTGGATCCTAGTTTTGCCAAAGCAGTAATAGCTCTACAATACAAGCTGTACATTGCAATTCCACAATGTTTTAAAGTTACTAGAATCCATCTTTTTCAAAAACTGACATCTGTGTTTACAACTCATTTTAAAAAGCTAATAATACTCTCTGAATTTGTCAGCCTGAGTCATTAGAGATTTTTAAATTAGAAAAATAGTAGAGTTGATTTGAGTCAACAGAACTATTTAGCTAGCCCAACCCAAATGACATTTTTGTCAGCCAACTTTGTCATGACCCAAACTAATTAAAAATCATAATCAAACTAAAATTAGAAGGGACTTCATTTAATCCAGTCCCCCAAACAGCATACCTGTAACATTCCTGGGAGATGTTTAATCTGTTAAAGGTATCCAGTGATGGAAACTTTTCAGTGCCCTCCAGGCAATCTTGCTTAAATGCTTCATTATCATCACCACTGGAAAATGTGCCTAACATCTACTTTGAAATTATTTTCTTGCCGTAATATAAGCTATTTTATGTCTGTAGTGGACAAGAAAACAGTCAATTTCCTCAAGCAAGAGAGAGACAAGAAATTATTTATGCCTACACCAAACAGACTCAAGTTCAGTGTTTTGCAGTGCTGCCATTTTACTGACATCACCACAAAGCAGTGACACAGACTTCATGAATACTTGGCACGCCTTCTTTTTCAGGGAAAGTTCGCTTAGGTTTTTGCTTTAACTTCTTTCCCATCAAAACCAGTACAAAGCCTATGAAGGCATGCCATGTTAAACTGCAGGCAAAAATTACAACTGCTACTTTTTGATAAAAGCTTGGCTTTTTTTCCCCCAGCATCTAAACAAACCCCAAGCTAGAACAACAGACAAGATGCGGGACCATGGAGTGCACAGCAGTTTGGGAACAATTCTACAGAAGCAGGCTATGGGGAAAAGAGAGAGAAGGGATGAGGGTTTCTGTTTAGAAACATGAAGTTCTTACAGTAGGAAGAGATTAACATTTAACAAGCACTTCTTTAGCAATGCTTCAGAAGCAATTACTTTTACACTCTACTTCTGAATCTTTATTAGGAAATATTTCTAATGAAAGGTTGTTTTAGGAAATTGCTGCTGTTCACTTGCCTTTTCAGGGATTTCAAAATAGTAGAGTATCTGTTTCCCAATCTGTGGTTAGCTAACTATTCAGAAACTCCAATTACATGCTTATTGTGAAAATTCTACTTTACTTTCAAAGGAGAGCAAAATATTTTCTCAGAGAACCTAGAAACACCCACAAGGTCTTGAACATGTTCAAAGACAAATATTAACTATGATGCTGTTCAAAAACAAAGAACAATCCTACATCAATGCCAACTCCAAGATCTTATCTGCAGCTTCCTATACAGAGAGGACAAAAAAAGAAATCTTCAAGATTGGTGCAAATTAGTCAACACAATACTCAACTAGAGTCTGAAACAGCAACAGTCGTCATGCAAGTGTTGCTCAGCAAAACATCCGAGCATGTGCACGCACTTCGGCTCTACAACATCACCTCAACAGACCAGAGCAGGAGGATATGACATAAGATCAGCAGTGGCCTGCCTCCCTCTCAAAAGCAGAAGAAAAATATCAGTGGAAACTTCATGTACTGTAACTGGATAATAGTGGGTGCTTTCTGCTTCTTAGTTGCTGTTCTGATCTGCTGGATCAGAGGTGATAATCGCTCCAGGAGGCAGTGCTTTATACCTGCCAATCAGTTGCTACACAGTGAGCTATGAAGAATTGACAGTCTAATCTTTAAGGGTAAGGATGGTTCTAAGCATCCACTGGAGGCTCCACTTCCCCACCACAAAAACACAAATGCTTTAAGCGAATACTACTGCTGAATATTTTGTATTGTGAAGCTAGAGCCAAAATTATTACAAATCACTGAGTTCTCTATCAGATAATCCTATGTATCTGTATGTTCGGCAGTTTGCCAAGCTACGCACATAAGGATTCATTAATATTTTCTTCCATTTTCTTCCAGCACTGCAGCTACAGGTTTGCATTACTTACTCCCCCTCTGCTTAAGGAACCATTTCTTAAGCTGCAGGGCTGTATCTTTGAAGGGACGACCAGAATATACTGCTGTAACAAGCCATGTCACGTCCAATATCATTCAGCTTCCATGGCAATGGCATTTAAGCATTCCCCTTCCCTCCTGTTCCTGCAGCACTTTGCCACCTTATAGTTGTTTGGACAAATGTTTGCAGGGCCAAGTTGTAAACAGGGAAAAGAAAAGCTGCTGACTATATGTTTTTAGAAACGAGCAATTTAAATTGGATCAGTTCAAATGGATCTGAAATCCAGTTCTAGAATGGTCATATAAATAGTTTCTCTGGCACAAAGGAAAGAGGGAGGGAAAGGACAACTGAAAACTGCGTAAGTCAATACTGCTGCTGAAGCTCCTTGCCACACTCCTATGACTCAGGCCATCAGCAGGGGTACAGCATAAGACAGGTAAATTAGAACTTACCTAACTATGGTAGCTGACTTCAAAGCAGACAGGAGTCAAGCCAAGATACGTGGGCAACACTGGCTTTTTAAAACGCTTAGATACACTGGGAATTGTTAAAAATAAAAAATAATTTAAGTTACGCTATTAGCTTTAGCAAAAGTCCTGGCTGCCACCAAAAGCAGCTGCCTTTTTCTTCCCTTTTCAATGCTACTGCTTTCCTCTTCCTGGCACTTCCCTCATTCTCCCCTGCATATTCTCAAATTTTAGCTAACAAGCTAGGAGCCACATAATCACAGGGCAAGTGGATCAACACAAGTGCCACCACAAAGGTGGCAGCAGGAATGGATCTGGCCTTCTCAACAATAGTCACTGTCAGCATGGTTTTAGGTGATGAGGAAACTGCACCCTGACTCAAGACCATGACTTTACCACCTGTAAACTGCTCTTGATAGAACGCTTAAGTTCTATTCAGTAGAACTTGAGTGTACAATAAAAAGATTTCACCCTGTCTAATTGCATCCACTTAGGTTTTTCAACATTATACAAGGCTTACCTTAAATGTAACCAAATTCTGTATGGAATAGGCTACTTCTGAACATGTGGCTTATTACCCTTGCCATACAGCACATGTAGAACTCAACACCCTAGTTTACAAGCAAATCTCCCTGAAACAGCCCTCAAAAACCGAAATTCTACTCATTCAGGGCTTGTCTATGTTTGATAGAGTAACACAGATTAAGTACTTTGAAGCTGTATAACTATTCGTTAAATACCAGGTTAATGCAAGCACAGAAGCTATGTAAGTCAAACTCCTCCCCTTGCCCAAAGACAACCTTCTTTACCTCAGGAGATCTTTCTTTACCACAGATGATCTTCATTCCTATATTCAAGCTGCAGTTCCTTCCTGCAGGCAAACCATCCCCATCTCTTATTACATGCAACCACCTATCTGTCCCTCTCCACTCACCCCAGCAGATGCCATCCCCGTTTCCCCATATTCTGTGGAGTCATGACAAATGTGTAAATTAAGCTCTGTACATAATGACTATTCCTTCACTCCTTCCAGGGAACAGTACAGGCCAGAAAGAAGCATCCCCTGGGCAGCTGATAATGCCACTGTGTTTAAATTAATGGGGACAAAGCACATTTTTTTCAACTAAAACTCAGCCCCATACATAGAATTCATCAGGGACATACTGTAGACAAGTAAACTGAAGTCACACAGAATTTTCTGAGCCTGAGCTTGCATGTTCCAGAACTGGTCTTTGTAGCCATCTAAGACAAGAAAAAATATTACGACTCCTAAGAAAAAACTCTATGCTTAGCATAGGTCCCAAACAATATAAATACTTTTTGAAGTTTTAATCACAAGGAAACTTACAGTCGCAGTATTAATACTAACCTCACCATGAGAATCACACTCTTTGTACATGAACTTGTTATCATGAAGAGGAGAGAAAAAGCAATAAACATGGGGAAAAAACTGTGGAAAAAACCAAGCTTGAGCATTTAGGTTTTCTTATCGTTGTTTTAGAATATGTCCAAACTCATGTAAGAGATTCTATTTTGAACAAATGACTTGTTGGCTGCCCTAATTCTACAGGTCTAATACACAAGCAGGTTATTAGCTACTCTCCACTCCCCAACACAGATCAACAGCTGTATCATATATTAGGTAACTTTTAAATGGTAAAAAAACCCAAACACCAACAGTGAATTTGGTTTTGAACATGTTACAAAATATTTTTGCCTGTTATAATAATTTTCTTTTGTTTGGAAACTAAATCCTGATATTTATAAAGCTGCATATGAAATTAGATCTATTACTGCAGTTCCACATTACAAAAGCCAATTTGTTTACTGAACTACTTGTTTATCATGACATCAAATAAGCAGCTGACTAATTAAGTTTTCTCCAGCAATTCATTTTCATGTGTGTTTTAAACTTGCCTTATGTAAAATAAAATCTTACCTTTATTAGTAGGACTGCCACAATGTATTCCACTTACGCTTTGGACAAAAATATGTTGCAATGCACTATATATGCAAATAAGCTTTGTTCTGTCATGCAGCATCCGGCACCTGATAGACAGTCAATTGCAGCAGCACCCAGCCTTTTTAGGGCCCATTTTCTTTGCACAGCAGATGTAAACAGCTCATTTTCCAGTAAATACACGTTTACATGGGTTGATTGTAAGTAAACAAAGCCAAACATCTGTTTAGTTATTAGTTTTGGTATCCATTTCTCTAACTTGCATTATCCCACTTAATTATCAACACCAAAGAAAGCTAGTAGAAGTCAGACACTTCAAGTTGATGCGGTTAGTACAAAAAAGAAAAATAAAAGGGAACACTCAAAGCACTCTTCAAAGACCATCATGCAAGTGTTGCAGAAAGTTAAGCCCATCACCCATTTTCTGTTTACCCTTTGCAAGGACTTAATTACACGTGCAGCAGTCTTTGCATAGCACCCATTTAATCCATGCCACCAAAATGGTAAACTTGGTAGTTACCAATCATTTAGATGGGGGTCAAAAGGGCTAATGCCTTAGATTGCTCTTAATCATAAGATATCCTCAGACAAACCTCCCCAGTCTTCATTCTGGCTCTACAAACACAAAATCAAGCAGCAGTGAAAATGTAATACCAACTACTTATTTAAAAAAAAACCAAAACAAAAAACCCAACACCCACCCAATTATTTTACAGCTTATTTCCATTCAAAACAAAAGTTAGAAAATATTCTAAACTACATACAAAAGTAAATTCAGTTATTTCACTCAAATATGTTTCAGCTATTGTTATTCTTTAAGTTAATACAATTTTATTAGGTCCTACTAAAAGTCCACTGTTAAGAAAGCAAACAACAGAAATGCATCAGTAAAAAACATCTGTTCAAAGACTCCAAGTAGATGCATTAAAAAACCTCTTAAGTTTACTTTTCATTTCTTAACAAGATAAAGGATATTAGTACCTTAAAAGATAAGTTCTAGAGAGTTGTTTAGAAAGATTCACCTGTGCTTGAAGGAATATTAATTCAAGGATTTTTTCTTTTAAAAGAGAACTTAAGATCAGTTGTTCATTATTATAAGATTGAGAGCGTAATACAATAGGATGCTACCAAATTTACATATATTTAATTCAGTGACTAAGTTTCACACAGTATTATCACTAACATTGATATCAAAGTAAGATTTGTTCCATGAAGGGAAATAAGAGTTTCATTCAACTTATCTGCCTACCATCCCCGAAGTAATTTAAACAATTTAATTCAAGAGCTATGTAATCGTATTTACTATTAAGTCATCATTGTTACTTGCTGAGCTGTATGTGATAAGCCAGTCATTTTCATGCAGTAATGTCTGGTGCAAGAAGTTGAACATTTTCGCTTTAATTCCTCTGTTAATGAAACACACTTAGATTTCTCAAAGAATTGTTAACAATAGGTCTTCTCAGACTTTTTTGTTGCCTTTTTAAAATAAAAGTTTCAGCATAAGGTTTAAAATATATACACTTTTAATGCATTTTGATATCCATAACCAGAACTACTACTGTTGCTAGACAGCTTGGCAACAAAAAACATAGCTTCTCCCTTAAAAATAGTAAATAAAAGCCCCAAAACACATACCAGCAACGTGCCTGACATCTGTACAACACACAGATAAGACCACAAAGAAATGAGAATCTAAGAACTGAGCACAATGGGATGCCTCCTGGGGGCATTCATATTCTTTTCACCTACTATTCTGTGGCACTCTAAAACCACCTTCACAGGTAGCGAGAATTTTAGGAAAGGGTAGTAGCACTGCAACATGACATATCATCTCAGACAATTCTCAGACAGAGTAAAAATGGAATTTTCTCCTCACTATCTCAAGGTTCAAACATTAACATTGCTCTTTTCAGCATTGTGCCAGATTCAGGGAACGTGTTCTATTAAAATGCAGATTAATGCGCTCATTCAGAAAGAGCATCTAATTTTGAAGATAAGATACTCCTTACTGTCAAGCAGTCTTCTGCAATTCTTCATTGAATTTATTATGTTTATTGACCAAAAGCACACAACTAAGCTCCTGAAAACAGCTATGGCATATGCAGCAGTGCTAAAATTTTCATCGTATCACCCTGATGCAGTGCTTCTACAGACAGCAACAGAAGACTATCGCTGGAGAAAAATCCGTCAGTTCAGTGTACAGATAAGAAATACACCCTTAATAGAATTATAACCTATGAGGAGCTTGGTGTACCATTAATACAGCCCCAACAGTTCTACAAGAATTGCTTGTATCAATGAATGATCAACTTCATAGGTAGTTTTGTGAAGTGGATGTTGTTGATCACTATTGGAATTCACAGAGAGGGTACTGAATAGTTATCAGACAGCAAGGATTTCACTTATACTAATTTGTCTTACTTATAATTGAAACTTCCTAATGTTTCAATTTGCACAGCTGACTGAATGCATACTTAATACTTATATGGAAGACTCCTTCCTCACAACTTGTTCAGTCTTAAGAACTTCCAATCAGCATTTTGATTTCTTTAATAAGATCACTCACATCTCACATGCATACACACTAAACAAAAAAGTCAGGAAAAAAGGAGAATATTATGGAGACAGATTTACTAAAACGGTATTTTAAAGGTCTGAACAAAAGCTGCTCAGGTGAAAAGCCGACTGCTTTCTATCATTTACAATTCATAAAACCAAGGACAGATTAAGATTTGACAACACGTTTCTGGAAAGACAACTGGATTTCTAAAGCATTTAGAAATCACAGCCTGCAAATCTATGATAAGTCCTAAGCATCATGACACATCCAGAAAAGCAAGAAACTTCACAAAGAATGTCGAGATACCGAACTGCATTTTTTCCAAAAAGAATCAAGAGACTCACATACAGATCAGTAAAATATTTAAGTTACCAGAAAAAAAAGCAGCCTGAGAATGGGAAGGGGGTGAAGTATGATACAATAACTTCCTGGATACTCAATGCTGCTTTTTCAAGACAACATTTAAATCTGAAAAGGTTAACTTCCCCTCCCCCCCCATTCCTACTTGGGAGAAAAAGAGAGATGCAGGTTCTACTATTGATTTTCTGGACCAATTCCTATTGCTTTCAACAGAAGAATATGATTTGGTAGGCATTTGCAGAAAAGCCTACTCCACAGTACGAGGAGAGTCCATAAACATCTATTAAAAATATGGAAACACCTTTGATATCAAGGTTTACAGACCTGTCTGCTACTATTAAATTTGCAACTAGTTGTCTTTAGAGGTTTGTTCCAAAGAGAAGCAATGGTCCTATGATTCCTGATCACGTGTATTCTTACAGTTCATTCCATCTAAAGTCCAGCTGAATTTATACTAGGTATTTATGAAGCTATGAGATTACTTCTTAAAAAACTGTTGGCAGGTTTTATCAGTGATTTTATAAACTCAATAGTCTATAGTACTGTCAATGACAAGCAAGATAGCCATAAACATATGTATATATGAAGTCAGAAATACAGTTCTATGAAGATTTTAAGTCATTTTTTACTTGAACAGAGTGGTACGAAAAGTGAAGTAATTAACACAAGACATACACAAAGAACAGACGATAGCATGACAAGGCTTGGAACTTTAACTGACACATTTGGAAATACCACGCTTGCAGTTCCACACAATCAAACACTTCGTAACTTTAGCATCTCCTTTCCCTCCATCCTGCGAACGCTGAATTTAAGAAGCAGTGTAGCTTATAACCACAAGAATAACCCATATCATAACTGAACAACAAATAAACTAATTTTCCTAAGACAAGGTGCAAACAAATTCTTCCAAAGTGAAGCATATTATATATACAATGTTACAGAGCACGACTGTAGTCAAGCATGTATACAAGGCCTACTTCATTCAAAAAATAACCACCTGTTCAATTGATGTGGGAAAATGAACACAAAATCAACTGACCGCTTCACTTAGGCCCAGTATGCTTTACCTTGTTTTTGCGTAATATGTTTTGTGACAAACTATGCCACTCTTTAAGAACAAGCAATTCAACTTCTTATTCCTAAGACTGGGGGGAAAAAACCTACCTCTCACACTCAAAGTATCTTACAAAAAGCTATTTCCACACGCTTGCATTTCCTCACGTACTACTTAAAAAGCACCTACATTTTGAACAGCACAATTAAGAAAACATGCAATACCTCAAAAAGAAAGTAATTATGTCAAATGCACATTCCCGAATTGGACTTATTTATTCTGCTTATGTATAGAATTTACCTATCACATAAAACCAGAAATAGTTTCATTCCAGGTTCTTAAATACTGTCTAGAACCAATGCCATAAACAAGCTCACTTTATTTTTGATCAATGTATCAGAGTCAATACCTTCAATATAAATGGACAAGGCATACACTTCATACTTAAACCAAAAGATCAAACAATCTAACTGCATTATAGCGTCTTTCCTGCTACATATCCAACATCCTTCAGGGACTGAGGTCTGAAATGCATTTTACAAAAGTGTCAGCTACCAAAACACTACCACAACTTACTGTATCTTCTATGAGTTGGGAGGGATTCCAAATCCACAAAGATCGTAGCTATTTCCTAATCCTTAAATAATGAACTAACAACATAACCCTTTTTCATTCATGGTAACTCTCATAGCTCCCCATACCTATCTTCTAAAATGTAATTACAGATCATTATCTGTGCCTAAAATCAAGAACACACATGTCTTAAGAACTGTAGTCTTAAACTGACCAACCAAGCTGACTACCTGAAACCGAGCCAGAAGTTATACATGAAGAACAGATGGCAATCAAGGCAGTCAGATCTCCATCATAATAAAGATTCCTGTTTCACATTGAGAGGAATACAGGTATAGCCGAGGCAAATGTCACTGCTGACTTAGGAAGGCAGTCTATTTCAGTAGTCTATATTTAAGAGCTAACATTAAGTGAAGACTGAATTAATTGCATTAATCATGGTAAGTTTCTCAAGAGGCTAGTAAGAAACAGGTGCTTACAAAGGCTGTTTCCTAAACCAGACAAAACCCCTTATACTCCCACCCACTCCACGCTTAAGTATCAGGGATTTGCTTTTGTCACTGCTAATGCTAACATTCCTTTATTTTGTCGTATCTCGAGGACAACCTAATACCATCTCTCCACTATTACGCATACCTTCAAACCTACAGTTTCCAATTAGCACATTTCATCTGCAAGAAGAAAATTTTCATGGCAGATGCAGGAAATTCACCAAATTTTCATTTCCAAAGATGCTCATTCTAAAACTAAAAGCTTGAATCTATATAGCAACCTTAAGCATCTAGCGCAAGTCAGCTGACATTAACAATTTAAGCGCCCTTCTGGATATAGGATAAGGTGAGGGCTTGAAATAGTGTCCTGGTTTTGGCTGGGATAGAGTTAATTTTCCTCCCAGTAGCTGGTGTAGTGCTGTGTCTTGGATTTAGGATGAGAACAATGTTGATAACACACCAATGTTTTAATTGTTGCTGAGCAGTGCTTACACTAGTCAAGGACTTTTCAGCTTCTCATGCCCTGCCAGCGAGAAGCTGGGAGGGGGCACAGCCAGGACAGCTGGCCCAAACTGGCCAAAGGAATATTCCATACCATGTGACGTCATGCTCGGTACATAAACTGGGGGGAGTTGGCTGGGGGGGCTGACTGCTGCTCGGGAAGTGGCTGGGCATCGGTCGGCAGGTGGTGAGCAATTGCATTGTGCATCACTTATTTTGTATGTTCTTTTATCGTTGTTAGTATTATTATCATCATTTTCCCTTCCTTTTCTGTCCTATTAAACTGTCTTTGTCTCAACCCACGAATTTTACTTTTTTTTTTTTCCAAGTCCCTCCCCCATCCCACTGCGGGGGTGGGGGGGGGAAGTGAGCAAATGGCTGTGTGGTGTTTAGCTGCCTGCCAAGTTAAACCACAACAAACAGCAAAGGAAATAAGGTTAATTGGTAGCATATCTACTGTTCTTCATGTGGGAGGACTAGTAAATACTACCTGAGGCCAAACTGCAAGAGCCTAAGAAAAAAACATTCACATAGCTCTTAGATTTTTGATCATTACTAAAATAGTGATGGAAACAAACAAGTGTGATTTGTTGATAGGTCCTCTGGCCTTTTTATTGAGATACCTCTTAAAAAATATATATTTTTAAATATTTTAGATGTTCTACAATCAACTACTAAAGGAATACACACATCCCCTACAAAAGAATAGTGGTGGACAAAATGGGGATAATTTCCAAAATACTTTTATAAAAATTACATAGGATGAATAACAAAGAATTTTCACTCGAAGCCAATGTTTAGGAACTTACTTCTACTTCAAATGAAGATGAGGGAGTCTGTATAGATTTGCTTTTAAATATATACATAACTGCCTGTTTTAGATATTAGAATTATTAACTCCTTGATTGTAGTGTTTTAGCACAGTAAATGACTATGAACTTCCAAGCACCATACTGAATTACTTGGACCATCAAATAAAAACACAGCAATTAGACTTTTAAGTGATAAAAAAAATCAGATCCTCTCTTTTGCATAGAACATATTTTGTTGCTAGTTTCATGCATTAAAAAATTTAAGTATCATGAAATCATGCACAGGATTATCTTTCAGTTGTTCCACACACCACATGTATATAACTCATGCAACAACATACTGCATCTGCCAATTCTCTTCTCTCAGTATAATGGAGTTGTACATACAAACAAAAAAACACCTTTTCAGAAATGCATGCCTTTTAAATACTTAACTAGTGATTATAAATTTCTATAGCAAACAAGACACAAAATTATCAAACAAGACGTGTGACAGCATTCTTTTGATCAAAAGTATTTCTAGCAATCAATTTACAAGGAAGCATGGAAGCACTGGAATAATTAGTTTTTACTACCATTCATATGGATAACACAGCCAGTATTGACGACTGACTATCGGTAAGTTATCAGGTGGTAATAAATGGGGGGGGTTAGGGAATGAATATTTGAACCGAGCACATTATTGAAGAGCTAACAAGAAAGGAATGGTGAAAAAGGCTTAAAAAGTTAGTATGTTTCTGTCACACAAACTCTAGCAGTTAGTAAGTGGACTGCACAGCACCAAGAACTTAATAACAAACTGAAGTAGGTGCTCAGAAACGTAAGTACATCCTGGAAAACTGCCACAGAAATACAAGTAGGCAAGGCTATTAAGAACTAATTCACTATTCAGCAATTTATGCCTCTGCATATTTTCTTTTAACATCACACAAATAGCTACTTAATGTGTTTGTAATGATTTTCCTTTGTGTAAGTATTCTGTACAGCTTTTAATCTTTAAGGTGCTTCATACATTAATGTATGTAGTGTTACTAATTAATAATGTTGTGTGTTCAACACTGATTACTAATTTTTAAATTAGGCAATATGAGTACTCAGGGCCAAATAAAAGTCCTTTTGTTGCACATAATTAGAATCTGACATGGTCAAAAACAAACACGTAACAACCCTGCTAGAAATGGTTTGCATTTGGAATCAAACCACATTTCATTCTGGTAGCTTTGAAGTATTCTGGGAAGCAGAAATTAACTGAAAGTACCAAAAAGTCTCCAGTTGTGACACACTATTATTTTAACAACCCTCTTCATCAAACTCAGCATGCACATAGCAGCAGTTGATACAAAAAACAAACCTCTGCAGAAAAAGTCCAACTTTATTGGAAGCTCAATTTAAATATGAACTCAGACTTCTATGGATTTTATAAACTAAAAATCAGATATATGGAGTAGTTTTATACTTGATCAACAGTCAATATAATATAACTAAGAATGAAAAACATAAAAATCAAACATAAGACTACAGTGGTGCTGTGATAAACTTACATTCCAATTTAATCAGAAAAGATTTAATAAACCTTGACATAACAGAAAATCTCAAAGAGATGGGGAAAGGAAGGCTAATCAGAGTAAAGCTATCAGGGCAAGGGAAAAGTCTCCCATTGAAAAAGTGATACTTCCTTTTGCATAAAATTTTTAACTTGAAATTATACTAAGTGTAAAAGAGAATGTTAGTTGTTTGGATAGAAAATCAGTAATTAATTCCTAGAGGTAGAATGCATTTTTGCTTTAGAAGAGACCTAAGAAAATGGTGAAAACAAAATTCAAAAACAGTGAGAATGAGAAAAGATACAGTAATTCCATTTTATGTATAATTAACTGTGCATTTGCAGGAGACAGACTGGAATAGATAACTAATCTGTTATACCTGTTTTCATATAAAGAGGAGCAAAAGATTTTAAGAGAATAAACCAATTATTTTCCCTCCCCCTTTGTAAACTGCAATAGGACTTCTGGTTAAGATAACTCCTTCTAAGAGTAAAGAAAGGCTCAACAAAACCTGCATCAGAACACAAGCAGTAAATAAGTGCATGCATTTCCTTCCCAGAAAAACAGGGCAGCAAATCTGTGTGTAATGGCTGACTTTGTTCATGACACTATCTGGTGACAGACAAGAACTTTAACGTGCTGTGGATTTGCCTGTACTCTGAAAGGATTACAAACACAACTACAAGGGTAAAGAACATTATGTGTTTCCCCATCCTATTAATACCATGTTCAAAGGGTAAAGAACATTATGTGTTTCCCCATCCTATTAATACCATGTTCAACAAAAAAGAGTACCAAGTGGAACACAGAATGCTTATATGAGAATTAAGCAATTAACTCACAGGACGAAATAACAAATTGAAGGTTCACATAAAGGGAAAAAATAGAGGAGCTTACATTTATATAGAATCTTACCAGTGAACCTCAGTACATTTTAAAAAATTAAGGTTCATCATCCCTGTTAAACAGCATGTTCCACTAACTTGCACACAAGACTGATGATTCCCCCCGCACTCCAGAATTTTGTGACTGTCCATTTAGACATTCAAAGACCTTAACACTGATCTCAAGACTACAGCAATTCGGTAAAACAACCACACAAACAAAAACCCCAAAACAAACCAGCATAGGATGGAGAAACATGGGGAAATGATACGAACTTTTTCTATACCATTGAAGCCCTTCCCATCAAACGTTTTCCGAAGAAACATGGTAGAGGTGCAACCTGTCTGTCTTTCTTCAAAGTTAGTAATGAATAACAAAAGCATTCTAAGTGAAAAACCAAATATTCTTATAGTTCATTCTGTATGTTTCTATGGCACTGCTATTACCGCTTTGTTAACTTAAAAATCAGAAATGTTCCAGAGTAAGCAACCTATAGCAGAAAGGCAGGTCTTTAGAATAAGAACTATACCTGAATGAGTCTCAAAGAAGAGAGTCTAGCTTCTGGATTTCAGCAATGAAACAGTAAAGAAGTGAACATGCATCAGGTATGACAAAAAACTAATGGTTGATTAATAAAAAGAAGTTAGACACATGAACAAAACTAAGTTAAAGTAGCATGAACTATAATTATCTAGGTATACACATAAAACAGCCACTTGAATTTCTAGCAAAACACAAAATCACAGTAGGTTACAATATACACAAGCCAAACAAAATGAGGAGAGCAGATAACATCATCATATTGCACAATTAGGACAACTATCTAGAAACTACATGCTAAGCATGCTAAAAAGCACCTTCTACAAGCTTAGAGAAACAGGAGCTTTTTCGAGTCACAGCCTACCATGCTGATACTTTGCCCAGAGAAGTTGAATTTGCTTACCTCCTGTAAAAGATCTGCCTGTTCAATGGCTTTGAGAACATTTTTCTTGGAAGTCTCCTGAACTTCCCCTCCTAAAAGGAACTCATCCAGAATGAAATAGGCTTTTTCAAAATTGAAGATGATATCAAGTTCACATACCTAAAAAGAACATCAAGCATTATTGCAAAGTGGAAGGATACTATCTATTGAGGTATATCCTCTCACAAAACTTAACCTGTTCACAGCTTCACCAAACTTCATCAAATCAAGATGTTAGCATCAGGCTATAACCTTTTAAGAAATGGGGCAAGAAAAAAAAAAACAATCAGTCCCTTGAAAAAAAAAAATTAAAAAAATCTTTTTTTGCTAAAACCAATCAGTCCTTTGAGAAAAAAAAATTAAAAAAATCTTTTTTTGCTTGAGTTAAAAACAGTTATAGCAACCTCTTTGAAAAAAGTTTTCATCGTTAAAAAGGTTTCAATTCACAACTGTCAGTATGACGTGGCTCTTCATGAGGCAAGAGAATATCCCTATAAAAGTTCTCTTTGTGCCTGCAGTATCCAAAGGCAGATCATGCAATCTTACAGAAAAATGTGAAAACACATTAATCTCAAATTTCTTATTCATCCTGTGCATTTCATAGTCAGAAGGGCTAGGAAGGCAGAAGGATGAGCAGCAGTTTTTCTAAGAGTGCTAATGTACACTACTACAGTTGTTTGTGCTTGCTACCTGGGTAAGCAGGTGTCTGTCTTTCCTTACCGCTCCTGCTAGTTCACAACCAACTTACATCTCCTTTGGAAGCAGATGTAAGAAGCGTTCACACACTAGAGCAGTGCCAGGGAGAAGGAAAGCTGGGCACCTAGACAGAAAGCTAAGGATAAGATTTTATCTGACCTCAAGTGAGACCACTACAAAATGAAATAAATACAGGCAATTAACACCAGATTAGTAACAGTTCTTCTCGCAAATTAATAATTTAATTTTGTATTTTAACAGTTATATAGGCAACCATCAGTTTAGTTTGACCAAGCAAGCAACATAAAATGTGTTAGATGCACCTTTTCAACAGCTAATTGATGATGTTTTTTAAAAGTGCTGTGGGCATAAAACAAAATGACATAATATAAAGAGACTGTGAATCTATAAAAATTAAAAAGAAATTACTAACTCACACTGCCAAAATACTTGTCAAGAAGTTCTACATAGCGATGAATTATTTCCAGAGTTATTAGTTCATTGTCCTGATCTTCAATAGCACAGCAGAAATAGAGACTTGCATATCTGTAATAACAAAATAATCCTGATGTTAGCATAAGAACATGAGCAAAATGAATGCACTTGAGATGTATTATGTTCTCAGTAGTCCTTCATACTCAAGTTTAGCCTACTGTTACCCTAAATCAACAGCCATGCAAGTTCTACCAAAGAATGGCTGAAAGACCAGCAGACATACGCATGTACAAAAGGGATCTGTTTCCTTGAGTCAAGCAAGACTTCAGTCTTTACCATCCTTTAGCTGACGGAATTAAACTAACCTAAGAGGTGGCTGGAAAAGGAAATGTATTTGATTTTTTGGCCTCTCGGCAGAGTTCTGAGGCAAGGTATTTTCTCCACTATCTGCAACATCCAAACACTGGTATACTAATCAACAGATTCAATCTTAATTTTTTATCACACAAGCTACACACAGAAATATTAAAAACTATAGAAAATGCCTTGGGAAAGATAAATTGAATTAGCAATTTGGATTTGGTCTTTATAGGGAATTTAACAAATGCCCAAAAAACTCCGAAACTAACACTAATGTCATACACCCCAATTGCTATTAAGTCAACAACTCGATCACTACCAACTGTCCTGGTATCAGACTAATGAGAGGCCATCAGCTAGTTTCTGGCAATCCACTTCCACCTTGGAAGACGGGGAATTCTTTACTTCAGATATGATCTTGGGTTCCACTTTAACAAAAAGACCATCCAGTTCTACTGTGCTCTACCATTCACTTGTTCGAGTCATGTTTAAAAAAGCTGATGCAAAAACAAAACAGGAATGAAAGCTGAAAAACCCATTTAGTCTTTTCTAAAGTGCCAAAACCGTATGCCATACAGACACACGGCACAAATGAGATTTCAAGTAACACCTGTTGTAACAGATAATTTACATGAACCAGAAACAGCTTTTGTTTGCCTGCTTAGAGAGGACAACTGGCCACATTAAGCACTCTGAGTAGCCAGCCCTATTGAAAAAGAAGTCATTCACATGTGAATGCCAAGTTTAAGATGCATATGTTTCCCATACACAGAAATGCATACACCTTTTAAACGTTACGCATTATTTTGTCAGCTGGGACTTTGTAAGCCCCCTAAGAAACTGTCAGGGTTTTTGGCTAGAAGTCCTGCAAAAATTGTTGTATTTTGCAGTATGTTCAAATTTGTCTCCCAGCCGCTCACCTAGCATCATGTATGACCTGCAAGTCCCCCCACTCTCCTCTAGCTGAGTCAGATTGCTACGGCTTCATCATGAACAACTAATCGGAATAACTTTTATTCAGAAGTTTTAAACTATTATAAAAAAAATTACTGCCTACAACTTCTTTCCATCCTACCACAAAACATGATGGGGGGGAAGAGAGGAAGACACCTCCATTGAAGCACTTAACACTTCAATTCCCTTGCTCCTTCATCTCTTCACCATGGTGACTCATCAGCTCATCAGAAGTCCTATCTGAGCACAGCTCTTTTGATTTTACACTGTTGTGTTTGTGCCTCACAAATTTTTCAAGGACATTTACAGTTATTGTAGTAGCTTGCAAGATTCAATCTGTATAAGGCATTTTTTAGACAAAGCTATTTAAAAAAGTATTGGAAAGTGATACTATAAAGAAAAAATATGTTTCCAAACCTACTGAGGAATTTAAGTCAAACTCCACGTCACCCGTATTTCATTGTAGAAAAAAAGAGCTTTGGCACATTAGTTGACATTTACGCTAACTACTAGCACTCAGGCCAAATCCATCTAAACAGAGCTTTCTTCATATTCAGACGAGCAGCACTGATTGTGATGAAGTGTAGTTAAACTGTTCCCTTATAGTGCTTAAACACAAGTTGAAACACATACCAGCAGACCTTATCAAATTTGACTCAAATATTTGAAATTTATCCACGTGGGACAGTCCTTTTGTGCTTCCCTATTACTCTTTTGGTCTCTTTTGATGCATACAACTATTTTATGCAAATACCCGCAAAAAAGGGCGGGGAGGGAGGGGCAGAGAGGGAGACTACCTAACATAAAATACTTTCCCAAAAAGCGGTCTGCTCTCAGTGTCCTCATTTAAAAGAACATGTAACATACTTTTGAAAGACTTTATTTGGCAGCTAGTGAGTAGACTACACATTCAAGCTCTGCCAACTGCAGTTTTGGAGAAAGAATACTGAGAAACAAAAACTACTCAGTGGGCATCTTAACGCAAAATGGAGGCCTGGGTATCTATCATTATATGCAGAGAATATTTTTCAAAGTATATTTAAGTAGCAACCATGACTAATAGATTACTACTCAACAGAAGAAAACAAATGAAGATTCAATAAGCCTACATGGCAAACAGTGGAAGAGTATAAACAAGTCAGCCATCATTGCAAAGGGCATAAGCATACTACAAAGTTATACCTTTCTTCAGACCCAAATTCTCAAAGGCAATAGTTTATTGTAATTTTTTTCCTCTGCAGGCCAGGGCTTCAGAAATAAGTGTCCACATATAGTCTACAGCAGATAAACTAGAGGTTTTGCCAAGTGTAGAAGCTTACATAGAGTGTCCATTCAAAGATGAGTAGATTACTGTACTCGGGCTGAAAAAGATGTCTGCTCTGCAGAAGCGTTGTGTCTTCCTAATGAGCCTGACAGAAACCTGTCTTTCATATGCACCCAATGAAAAGGCAAATCCTGATAGTAAAGTATGCCGCATCACACAAGCAAATGTAGTGCAGTCTGCAAGAAACACTCTGCCCTTTTTATTCCTATTGCAATTGTGGGGATTTTTTTCTCAGTAGGTATTATTAACAGAATCATCAGACCCAACTCAGCTGCTTACGCTCATTTAGGGAAATATTTTATGATAAACATCCCCCACTTGTCAGAAAGGGGACCAAAAACAGAGACACCAAAAACAGTTTGGAAAAAATCACCTAAAAATGTAATATGGAGTAAAAGAACAAAAAGAAAACACAGGAGGTACAAATACTTACACAAATTCCTGCCTTCAGATAGATGACCTTAGGGTTTTTTTGTGATAGGAAACAAATTCATGAACCTCCCCCTCAACAGTTCGGTAGTGGGAAGCCTCACAATTGGCAGGCAATGCTTCAGCAGAGTTCTCCTCTACTACTCTGCTCACAACCAGGTTCAGTAACTCTGTTGGGAGATCAGGTCACTGTGGGCAGAGCATAACTTGCAAATCCTGCCAGTTCAGTGGTGTTCTCCTACTAGATGACAGAACACCTGCTTGAAGTCATCCCTGGAAGTTTGTCACCAGGTAAAGCTGCAAGCAAGCCATAAGTCTGTCAACATTTAAGTCACTTTGCACATAGATCCTAATTGCAGAAATTTAAAGCTTACAGAGTTTGGCAGGAGCAGAGCTGAACTGCAAATGACAACCAACCTGCCTTTAAGAGGCAGACAAGTGCTTAAGGTAGCCCAAGAATCTGTGGTTTGGTGATAGTTGACACTGTAAAAACTGGACCACTAAAAAGTTGTCCTTGGCAAAAGATTTTTTTCTCCTCCAAAAAACTTACACATTTCTTTAATAAAACAAGAAGTTCTGAGACTCTAGGACAGGCAGATCAGTCACTATTCAGTCAAGAATACAGAAATCAACAATAACACTACCAAAGTCAAGCATTTCTTTTACAGTTTCTTATTTCAGCAAGGCTATACCCCCCAGTAGTTTTAGAAATGAACAAAAGCTTGGTACTGCTAATCCTCTAAGATAAAGCTGCTGCTTCTTGATACTGAGGTCCTCCTAGTGCCACATGAACTAGAAACGTGTACAAAGAGGACCTGATCAAGTTAAAACAATCAAACCCAAGTACCTAATTCACTATAATCATTGCATTCAGTCAGTTTTACAGAGCCACTTAATTGACACCATAGTAACATTTTTAACAACTGGCAGCCAAGATGTACATAAAGAAAGATAGGGATCATGTCAACTGCTGGGCACGTACCACTAGCCACATGACTGCACCTTAAGTTCACAGTACTTTGAGCTAAGACATACGCTACTTGCAGAATGGGCTCTTTCGCTGTTTCTTTCAGTGGAGGGAGGGTAAAAAGAAAGTTTTAAAACTTATTTTTTCTAAGTCTTTAATGTAACCTATGATTATGGTTATTTTGTGTTAAAGTAAAAGACGATTGCCACAACATTAAAGGCAGCACAAGCTATGACAGTTTTATAAATTTATACTGCAAATGCAGTTCCAAACTGACACATAAAAGCAAAGCCACAATCCTTAATCAAATTACCAATCAACAATAACCAAGTCCCATGATCTCAGTTAACCAAACGCTAACAAAGTAAAATTTACATAAAAATCGGTTATTCTGCAATTTCTGATTTTGACTGCAATATACTACAGAATGAACAGAACTCATACTGCCAGAAACTAAAATAGGGAACAGCTGAGATCTTAAAAGAAAAAAAAAAATTACATCCTTTCTTAAGTTCCTTTTTTTAGTAAAATTAGAAATTTTAACATTTAACACATTTCTCTGCCACAAGGGGAAAGCTGCATGAACTTCTACCCTACATGCTCCAAACACCACTACAGTTAGTTTTTAAAATGACAAAATGTGAAGAGCGATCATTCATTGTGTTTGCTAAGTTTCTAATCAGCTGTCTGCAGATGACTCCCTCTCTATTTTCATTAAGTGCAATTGTTGTTGGCTCCCCACATTCGAATTTCTTTTTTTTTGCCCCCAGTAAGTCACTTCAAATCTCTATTCGTCTCTTGAAGTTAGAAGCTCACATTCTTTTTCAATCTTCCAGTGCCTACCAGCCTGAAAAACTCTCTTCCAAACCTGCTACAGAATACGTACATCCCAATTCATGAACCATGTCAAGAGCAGGGCACCTTTCCATTTGTGTTTTGTAGCGCACTAAAGAAAAAAATTAAGGCGGCAACGTCTGATCCTATTTTGCAACCGTTATCAATGCTACGTGTATGAAACCAAGGAAAATAAAAGTTAGTCACACACATTCAGATGGATTTTAAAACACTTAGTTCTATTTTCTTGAAGTTCCATTCAGAAAGCATCCTATAAGGATGAAATGCTACAGAGCTAAGGAGGCTAATCAAAATAGTCCAGCTTTCTTGATAACTGTTAAGTATCAGAAGGCAGCAAAAGCTACTGGCTTGCCAATTTTGCATTTGAGTTCATTCTGTTCTTGCGAAAAGGTACATCAATGAGACCCTGGAGTACACTTCTAATAATGCCAACCATTCTTTGAGTCACAATATCTAGGTCACTTCTCTCTCACATGTTGACAGTAAATACACTCTAAAAACAAAAATAGCACATCAATTTCAGCAATTTAAGACTCACAATAGCACTATGCACATACTTTTATAGCTTATATTGAAAAACATTTGCACCAGGAGGTTCAGATCCTTCCCAGTAATAGATCAGACAAGAACAGATCTTACTAGAGATGCTCAAGAGCCTTTTGTCTGTGAGCAATTGGGAGGACCTCTTGCAATTTCACAAACCACACAAAGTTCCTGCAAATGTGTTTCTCTCTAAGCCACCCACCTTTCAGAAAGTATTAGACTTTGACTATTGTGGTTGTCTTCTTGGGATTATCTATTTTTGAGCTGTAATAGATCTCCCTTTTCAAAGAAATCATACTAGACTTGGTACTCATCAACTTTAGTTACAGTGTGATGGTTGGAAGAAGTCTGTCCCACAAACCTAAAAGCTGTTAATGTTATCAGATACAGGAATTTAAACTATCACCTCTTATACCCAGTCCTTCTGGTGATGTTTTAGCCTAATGAAACTTGCCAAAAAAGCAAAAGTAAAACAAGATTTGAAATGTTCATTAGCTTGATACAAGCTAATCTTAAGCAAGATTTCGTAGGCCAACTGTGCCAGATTGGTTTGCAGAGAGTGAAATAAGCTACTGCAGTCAGCTGTGCACACCAGCAGTCTAGCAAATGGACTGCAGTCTACATCCAGCCCAAAACGGTCTAGATACATCTCCCAGCAAATTTCTTCATTATCCTTGACCACAGGACCCACAGCACACTACTGAGATGCATGAACACCACAACTTTCAGCAACTCGAACAGTCATACCCAAACTTCCACCAGTTCCCTAGACACAAAAGGACATGACAAGTAGTTGTTACCAGCAATAAACAGGGAGGGAAAGCAGCTGTGTGGAATCAACTCACCACCAAAACAGCTACTGCTGTTCAAGACTGGGCAAGGAAAGGAACAGACTAGCCTACTCATGCCTAATTTTTCTGATCTAGTCCCATAAAAGCCCAGCTGAACGAGCACTTACAGGCATTATTGCTTAAGGGAGCACACAAAGCATTTGAGTAAGCTTGTCTATAGGTATGTACAAGAAGTTCTGTGAGGAAATTGAGCAGCAGAAGAAAAAACCGTGTATGCTTTCTTTAAGCACGTTGTTCCTCCTCTTTCCTCCTCCTTGTGTTAAAGAACTACATGCATTAGACTGGTAACATTCATATGCATGATGTTACATGCACCAATGTATATCTGAAACCAGGACTTGAAACATCTAAACCTTTTTGATTATACCCATTTGGTACGCCGGAAAAGAGTTACAAACTCTTCATTTCAGCTCCAGTTCTCTCAGTCCTCCCTACAGAGAAAATACTACAATATTTATTGTAGAGCACAAATTATTTACCATCTCAAAGAGAAAATAAGAATGCATAAACCTTCTGAAGTTTGTAAGTAACTAGGGAAGGGAGATAACTCAAGGTTTCGTAGCACCAGCTTTAGCTGGAAGAGATGTAGCCTACCAAATCAGGATGAGAAATACTGTTACTTGTAGAGAAAATTATTTTCACACCTCTATGTTGTAATACATTCTAAAGATCAGCACAAAGCTAAAAAATGCTTGCCAAATACTCCTAGAAAAGTTAGGGAACAGCTGAGAAATGAAACTATTGCAAAGAAAATTATACAGTACTTCCACCAAAAGAAAGCTAGCCGTGATTTCTTCAATTAGGAGAAATGCCTTTTTGTATTCATAGCAAAAAAATAATTTAAAAAAAAAAAACCAAAAAACAAACAAGGTACTCTGAAAGAATGAGTTCCTTATTTCTATGAGCCTTTAAAAGCAAGTTACATTTTCAGGTGATTTATGAAGTCACTGCCTGAGGTAAATGTTTATAAAATTTAGTTTTTCTTTATCACCTATTAAATCTTACATGCTTCATATTTGTATGCATTTATGTACTGTGTGAATCTAAACAGAGAACTAAGAACCACCACTCCTTATGAAAGTAGAAGGAAACCTCATTTCTTTTCTTCAACACATTTCTAAACGCATGAGTGATTTTCCACACATGAATGATTCCTACTTGGTTATCAAATTAGATTCAAGGGAAAAGTCAGTCTTCTCCATAACCAGCAGAAGGAAGGAAAAAAAAAACAACAAAAAAAGAAAAAAAATCAACCTTCATTATTTTCTTGCTACTTATTACGTTGTTTGTTATGTACGGCAATTACGAGGTTAGCGAGACAGAACAACCTTTTGTAGACAATCTTCAGGTCTCTCCATTCCAGGAAGCTGCACATTTTCGGTTTGCGGGCTAATACTGTTTGAACAAGTTCCCTTGTGATTTTCTTCTTTTCTTTGTCAGATAATGGGACATACCACTTCTGGAGTCTCAGTTTCCCCTGGCGACTAAAAAGCAACATAAACTGCATCTGTTGAATTAGAAGGAGGAAAAAAAAGGATTAATCTCAGTCTCTTAGCTCTAAAAAGATTTCTGTGAGGAAAACCAAAGAGGAAGCAAGATAGCCATCCAAAACCCAAACTACATTATGTATTTCTATAGCGGTGGCAGATGTTACACAAGATTTGGAAGTACCAATAATACAAAGGATTCCACTGAACGAGGTCAGTCAAAGGAAAGATAGTCGAAAGGATACACAAGTTTCAGAAACGGGTGTCAGAATCACCAGGTAGCGAGTGAATACACCCAAATTTCAGACAAACCATGTCCAGCACTGGTATGGTTGCATTTGCGTTTACTACTGAAAACGACAAAAAAACGGCACAGCCGCCTCCTCAAATACCCAAACTCATTTTCAATTCACCGGATTAGAGCCTTAGAGCAGGAGCAATTTGTACTTAAGATCTTTTTGAAAAGCCTCAGAATACTTTAAAAGGCATTAAATCTCCCAACGGAGAGTCCTACGGCATAGAAAAGCCTAGTCTTTTCTCACGTTACACAAAAGGAGTAGAGATTAAGTGCTTTCCCTGCGGTCCTATGTTCCAGGTCTCGCTTCCCGTAAAGCAGTGATGTTGCAATTATATTTTAAGAGGAACTTGTCGGCTGTGTTTTCCAGCAGTTGTAACATTAAAGGAAATGGCTTTTTTTTTTTCTCCTTTTTGCTCGGAGTTGTATTGGGCAGAGGAAGTTTCCCAGGCAATATGACAGACGTGAAATGAGATGAGGAAGCCCAGCCTAGTCCCGGGTGACAAGTCCGACCGGCGCCAGCAGAGACAAGAGGCG